ATTTGGTATTACCAAGGTTGTGAATGAAACAAATAAATATTATAAGATGACTAAAACTTCACGGCTTTAACTTATTTTGGTATTTTGGAATGTGCTGCAAAATTAACAGGTAAAAATAAATAAAAATCAAATGGAATGAAACTGATGAAGCAAAACATTCAGGAAATTGAATAACTGTAATTATTAAAAATACATACTGCAGGTTTTCAGTTCTGAGCTGGATGAAATGTTGCGTTTCCAGTAAAATGAAAAGCAGGTGCTTGAGCTCACAGGGTTACTGAGGGCTACAACAGCACGGGGAGCTTTAAAAGGCTCTCTGCAAGTCAACCTGTAACCACATTACAGTTAAATATTTGATGAATTATTCTGTAAAACCTGTCAGGCCCTGCATCCGTCACGCATGTGGAACAAAGCAGGTAAACTGGAACAGCGTACAGAAAAAAAAACAAGAAAAAAGAAAGCAAAATGTGATTTTTTACAACTAAAATTAACTCTTTGTATAAAAAGCACTTCTTCAAGCTCTACGTGAAGGTTAATGTCAATAACAAGTGATTGCACAAATATATTATAAGCTGCACAAATGTCCATCAAATCCTTGCACTATGCTTTCCCTTCAGTGCAGTTTGTGCCGTGAAAACTCTTCTCCAACAAAAGCTTCATAAAATCTTTATCGTTCCATATGGAAGCGCAGTTTGCAGCCAGTCACATGAAGGTGCAACAGAAGCTGCTCTTGCATTAACCCTGTCCTGTGCGGTAYCGTGTCGCTGAGCTGACAGGTGGAGCAGTAATGGGCTCCTGCAGAGTGCTTCTGCTTTGTCTGTCGGGTCCCAGAAATCAGCAGAGCTGCAGGACTGCTGGTCCTGGTGGAGTTTCAGTTTGTTCAGCCTGAGGTTCAACGCCAAAGAAATACTGGAACAGACAATAAAAAAACAAGAGATCTTCATTGTCTTTCTATATACAGCGGGTAAAATAAGTATTGAACACGTCACCATTTTTCTCAGTAAATATATTACTAGAGGCGATAATGACATGAAATTTTCACCAGATGTCGGTAACAACCCAAGTGATCCATACATACAAAGAAATCAAACCATAAATGTCCAGAAATTAAGTTATTTGTAATAATGTGGAATGGCACAGGGAAAAAGTATTGAACACATGAAGAAAGGGAGGTGTAAAAAGGCATGGAAAGMCAAGACACCAGCTGAACTCTCTCAGTAATTAGAAAACAAGCCTGCCCCTTGTCAGTGCAAGTTAATATCAGCTGGTTCAGTCCCAAATGATGGCCAGGTATCACACAAGAACCATCTGATGATGGGTAAAAGTAAAGAGCTCTCTCAAGACCTTCACAACCTTATTGTTGCAAAGCATAATGATGGCATCGGTTACAGAAGAATGTCTAAACTTCTGAAGGTTCCAGTGAGCACTGTTGGGGCCATAATTCAGAAGTGGAAAGAACATTATTTCACCATAAACCGACCACGACCAGGAGCTCCTCACAAGATTTCTGACAGAGGAGTGAAAAGAATTATCAGAAGAGTTGTCCAAGAGCCAAGGACCACTTGTGGAGAGCTTCAGAAASACCTGGAATTAGCAGGTACGATTGTTTCAAAGAAAACAATAAGTAATGCACTGAACCACCATGGCCTGTATGCACGCTCACCACGCAAGACTCCACTGCTGAAGAAACAGCATGTTGAAGCTCCTTTAAAGTTTGCTGCACAACATTTAGACAAGCCTGTGTAATACTGGGAGAATATAGTCTGGTCAGATGAGACCAACATTGAACTGTTTGGATGCYAGAATACACATCATGTTTGGAGGTCAAATGGCACTGCACATCAGCCCAAAAACACCATACCAACAGTGAAGTTTGGAGGTGGGAACATCATGGTGTGGGGCTGTTTTTCAGCATATGGTACTGGCAAACTTCAAATAATTGAAGGAAGGATGAATGGAAAAAAGTACAGAGACATTCTTGATAAAAATCTGCTTCCATCTACCAGGATGATGAAGATGAAACGTGGCTGGACATTTCAGCAAGACAATGAGCCCAAACACAAAGCCAAGGAAACTCTCAGTTGGTTTCAGAGAAAGAAACTAAAGCTGCTGGAATGGCCCAGCCAATCACCTGACCTGAATCCAACAGAAAATCTATGGAAAGAACTAAAGATCAGAGTTCATAGAAGAGGTCCACGAAACCTTCAAGATTTGAAGACTGTTTGTGTGGAAGAATGGGCCAAAATCACACCTGAGCAATGCATGCCACTAGTTTCTCCATACAGGAGGCGTCTTGAAGCTGTCATTGACAACAAAGGCTTTTGTACAAAGTATTAGATAAATTTCAGTAAGTGTGTTCAATACTTTTTCCCTGTGCCATTCCACATTATTACAAATAACTTAATTTCTGGTCATTTATGGTTTGATTTCTTTGTATGTATGGATCACTTGGGTTGTTACCAACATCTGGTGAAAATTTCATGTCATTAGCGCCTCTAGTAATATATTTACTGTGAGAAATGTTGATGTGTTCAATACTTATTTTACCCGCTGTATTTTATGGTAGTTTGTGTAACTTTTTATTGTAGTTTTCAAATGCTCATGTAAGTTGCTTTATTTAAAAAAAAAAGTTCACATTTTTCAGTCAGAGTGAATAAAATAAAATTTTTTTATCTGTCTGCATTTCTGGAAGTTTCTAAAAGCTCCGGGGCCACTTTGTGTCTGTGGGCCCACCGAGGCTGTGATTTCTGGCCGGGCCGTGTGATACAATCATTGGTGTGAGGCTGGGAAACTCCGGCGAGGTGTGAAAAACATGCACAACAACATGGAAAGTGTCCGAGCCGCTGCAGAATATGAAACTAATTGGAGCACAAGCGCACAAGAAACACTCTTCTGTAGGGGAGACCGGGGACAGTAGCAACAAGGGACGGTTGCAACACGTCATTTTTCTCCAAACAGAAACAAGCTGGAGTGATGACACTCACAATGTACATGCTCAGTTAGATGTCCCACCTTGTAAAGAAAAAGTAAGCAGATTCAAAAACCGCTCCAAGATTTATTTAAAAAAAATGTTTTTGAGGAACCAAAGTAATTTTTTGCTCAGCTTTATTTTTTGTTATTCTGTTGTCAGTTTTTGTGATCCAGTTCAGACATATGGTTTAAACAAGTGATATGTTGACTTTTAACTAATATAGTTAACATGTATCCAGATCAGCTTTTTTTAGCTAACACATGAGGAAATCATCAGAAGACACTGGTTACGTACCAAAGTATCGTCCATATGAAGGCACAGACCCAAGGAGTCACGGCAGGACTTCCTCCCCTCTGTAATACGGCCTGGTGCTGTGTCTCCCTAAAGCCATCATCTGCATGATGTTAAAAAATAATGTATTTATCAATGGAGCAGCAAACAACACGCTCTGCATGCTATTGTAGATACTTTTGTACCAAACACTGACTGCTTACAGATATTTAGATGCAACAAACTGTGATTAAATTTGTTTAGTTTCTGTCTTGGATCCCAAATATTCCTTGTGAAATTGATTAAAAACCTAATTTTATTATTTTTCAAAGAAAAAAAATCCATCTTCAAGTACAAATAATTTTTTTTTTACTTTACATGTCAGTAAAGTTATTGCTTATCTATAATTGTAAAAATGATCCCAAAATGACAAAACAAGCATTTTTTTCTGAAAAGTAACTCTTTTATTAATATTTTACAATCCTTTAATCATGGTTATGTCATTATTTACTTTTTTCAGCGCCACTTTGCAAGTGTCATAATTCCATGCTGTCTGACGACAACAAACAGGAAAAATAAAAAATACAAAGGAGAGGTTTGAAGAATGAGAGTCTATGCAACACTTTTTGACAAGTGGTAGAGAGAGATTCACATTTCGGCTCTCGGGTCGACCTCTCGTCCCGTCCGCTTGTCAGAAAAAACAAAAACAGGTAAACAAAAAGGTTAAAAGCAGGACTGTCAGTCAAGTGAATACGTGTCGGGTTTGTGAGTCTGTTTTTTCTTGTGTTTTGGCTATAAAAACACCCCAAAAATCCTGATCTTGAAAAAGAACTCAGATCTTTCTTCTCCTCAGGGATTTAAAATGATTTGTTTGGGGGAAAAAAAAAAACAAAACAAAGTAATGCACAATCAACCACAACAAACAGATAATATAAAGATGGTCTCTTTTCCAGCAGCTGCTCCAAACATTGGAGGATATTTCTATTTTTCCAAAAACAAACAAAAAAAAAGCTTTTTATAAAATAAAAAAAAGGGCCACTGTCCAGGACAGAAACGAGCGAACGCTTCTCAAACGAGACCCAAATTGAAACGACGGTACGAGTTGCTGCTGAGACGTTACTCGCTTTGTTGTGCTGTGGCGACAGGAGCTGCTGGCGGACACATTTCCTCGTAAAAATGGTCAAATCGAATGCTTCCTGAGAAATAAAGGAAAGATCTACCTGGCATGGAGAGAAATGGAAGGAGGAAGGAGGCTGAGACAGGAGGAGAGGAAGAAGGAATCGTTTAAGGATGGATGGTAAACGAGCTGTTGGTGTGTGTGTGTGTGTGTGTGTGAGTGCGGTGGCCCCAGTTGAATCCCTCTGTGAGTAAACATGAAAGCTGGAGGACAGAGGAGGAGTGGGCAGCAGTGCTGGTGTTTGTGCTCTTCGGCACAGAGAGGAGGAGGAGGGAGGAAGGTAGGCAGGCTGGTAGGAGACAAATCAAAGTGTCTGTCCAGCTGCTGGCAGCGTCCGACACCCACGACGCTCACACTCATCACTCCCGGAGCTTTTTGTGTGTTAAAACGATCGACGCTCTAAATCCGACTCCAGCTGCAGACGTGGAGCAGACAGTTCTCGTTTCAGCTGTTTTGGGTTGTGAGATATCCAGTTTTGTTTTGTGTGGAGTCACGCAAGCTTCCAGTTCAAAGTCGACGACAAACGTCTGCTGAAAACGTGTCTGAAACTTCTGCACGGCTCGGTGCGCTGCAACTAAAACTGACGAGCAACAAAAAGGCTGCAAAAGCTCACTGCAAACAAAGAAATTAATTTGTGCATTAAGTTTAACCCAGAATGTTTTAAATTCAACGTTTTAGACAGAAACTAATATAAAAACTTTAAATTTTCATTTGATTTTCAACGACAAACTTTCTTAYTAAGTGTAAGGCCTATAAACTAAAGGGTGGCTGAGCAACAAGTTGGTGAATTTATTCAGAAATTTACGTCAAATTTCATCTAACGTAATTTTAGGTCGAAAACTGGACAGAAAATTTCATAAATATGTCACATTTACACTAACTTGCATTTATTACTCGTTGTTGAAATAACTAGGACATTTATATAAATATACAAATACAAGGTTGATTATTATTATCGACGTAGAAAAACAAACATTTGTAGTATTTTTGTCACGTTTATATCTTCTGGATTATTTATTTTTTGTAATTTGCAGCACATTTCTTTGCCTGTTTCTGCTGTGACCGTTTGCAGGATGGTTGCTCATTTTCAGTTCATTTCATTATAACGTTTTTAGTTGCAGTGCATTTTCTTGAGCCCTTTCAGCCACCGTACCTCCCAACAGTGGAGGTAAATTTGAGATAAATCTTAATCCTGTGTTGGTTTCTTTCACCTTCACCAGGCAAAACAGTCTCAAACAGCAGGAAGAACCTGTTCACGGCTGGAYGCAGGACAGAAAAACCAAAAGTTTGACCTAATTTCAGTGAAAACACTGAAACGTGTGACATAACCAGCAGGTAAAAGCCGGTTACTACCGACGCCTCGTCGGCTCGCTGTCGCACTCCATCACTGCGGCTCCATGGGAGTAGGCAGGACCGAGTATTTTTAGACCTTCCGGAATTAAAAAACAAATAATAATAATAATAATTTTTGCCTCATCAGAGTAGAACAGCAGGACCTCTGAAAGACAGGTAAGTGCGAATGGTGCCACCCRCGGTAAACATTTACTCATACTGGGCTGGCGGTAGTGTTAACGGGGAGGTGAAGGCAGGATGCTGAGGCGAGAACAAACCTCGCAGCTGCAGGGCAGGATGACAATTTCTTCTATTTAGGCTAACATGTCTAATTTAAATCTGACAAACCTCTTTGCATTGAATCATGATCAAACTAAGGCAAATTTTAGGAAATAAAAACTTTGAGGAAAAACTTTAATTTTAAAAAATCAGTAATCTGGGAAATTCAGGCCAAACTCAGAACATCAAATATATTCCGCTGGCTTTTTTGAGTTKAAGTTCATGTTCTGTTAATGGGATTTAATTGTGGTAAACAGCCTCTTTTTGCTGCTTAATATGAAATCTCGAAGCTGCCCAATCGTAAAAAAATCAAAAAAAAAAAACACATTTGCTTTCATGCTTAACTGCCTGCCTGAAAATCTGCTGCGGCACGGATGAAGGGAAACCCTTCGGTTGTTTTATCTGCGAGACAAGATTCAGTTTTGCTTTTACACGTTATTCAGCAAATCCCTTTGGTCCCTGTGGAGCTCAGAAAACCAACAAAACAAGACGGAAACACGTGGTGGTGTGGTTCTGGGTGTGGTTCTGGGTGTGGTTCGCGACAAAGGATGCAAAAAATACAAAAAAAAGGTGTGTTGATGGAGAGAAAGAGAGGAGATGACAGGGTAGGGTTTGTTACTGCCGAGGTGAGGATGGTAAGGCGGGGTTGGAGGGTCAGTTGCAGRGGAAGGGGAGGGCTATGTGCCCTTGCACATCCACCCGTCTCCCCCCTTCGTTCTGTCCCTCTGGTCTCCTTCCTTTAGCGAGCCCAGGTCAAGTCCAGGAATGTCAGCAGGCAGATCCCTCTTCCTTCCATCAGTCCCTCTCGTACTTTCTCAGCTGTCCGTTCGGCTGTCTCTGTGCAGGTCACTGGAGGTCTCGGTCTTCTAGGTACCGATACTCAAACGTGAAGCCCTCCTTCTTCCTCTGGCCCCACTTCTCGTAGTCAAAGTAAATGTATGTTCCCTGAAAGAGAAACAGAAAATGAATCACGGGAAACTAAACATTTAACTTAAACAAGTTAAACAAAAGAATAAAAATGTGATTTTGCTAAATCTTGGGTTAAACACAATGTTTAATCTGAACAGTGGTCTCTGGGATTTATGAAGACACAAGAAGTGTGTGCTTTAAAGTAGACATGATGCTTTTAAATCCTTCAGTTCAGTCTTTATAAAGTGGAACTACAATGGTTTGGTCTGAAATCCTCCTTATTCTAACTTTCACTACTTTTCTGCTGTGTGTCTCAAAGCRCTTCAAGCCCCGCCCCCCTCCAGCTTCCAGACCGATCCACTCCGGTTTGAGAGACGGGGTTAGCGTTTTGTAGCGTTCAGAAACATTTTTTTTTACAATTTAATTAAAAGATGTCAACAACAGAAGACTTGTCCATCCAGCCTTACATGTTGAAGCCAGAGTCTGACCCAGAACCAGAGTCTGAGCCAGAACCAGAGGAGAATTAAGACAAGTAAATTGTAGTTAGTAAGTCCAGACCTTTTTTGGCAATTCTTTGCAGGTAATTTAACATAATAAATAAAAAAAATAGAGAAAACTGAACTAGCTGAAAAATCTGACCCGAACAGAATATAAAGATATCTCTGCAGCACCAAGAGAGACTAAATCCAACTTTTCTGCCTCTTTGAGACGCCAAATCCACAACAAAATGTATTTATACAGCTAAAAAAGTAGATTTTGCATGATTTAACATGTGCTCACCAAATAAATAAAACAAAATAAAGAAATAAACAACCAAATTCACCAAAAAATGACAAAATGTTCACTGTATCCTCTGTAAAACTGAGTCGTCTTGAGTTCAATAATTAGGTTTTTAACACGTCACAATCTAACATTTTGCACTTTCTTGTTMATTTCTGAGCCACTTCTACCAGGTGACTACAAATCTTTACAGAAAACACTGAGATTTATAATCTTGCTGCTTCAACCCCCACAGAAAACAGCCCATAATAACCTGCTCAAACTCATCAGTGATGGTCTTGGGCTCTTCGTGCCTCTGAAACCACATCATGTATTTCGTGTGGAACCTCCACGATTGTTTCTTCAGGGCTTTGGCTGCCAGATACTGGGCCTTAGTGCCCTGCAGAAAAACAGAGATGGGAAAAGAAAACAACGTGAGGACCAAGTGGAGCCATGAGAAAATAAACCAGGACTACAAAAACTTCAGCTTCTTTGTTCGGATTACATTTTTTAGCTTAATTAGAGCAAAAAACTGACCAAATGTTTCTGATTAAGACGTGTTTTTTTTTAAAACGCTAATGTTGCAGGTCAAAACGTACCTCCAGGTAGTAAAAGATGAAAAAGAGAGTCTCCGTGGAGAGCCTCTGGTAAAACTCTACAGTGTCGGAGTGAGGTGGTGGCATCTGGTGGTGGAAAGGTGGGGTGGGGCAGGGGTTCCTCATAAGATACTGCCTGAAACATGGAGAAATACAAACATACGTTTAGAAATTATAAACATCAACACGCCTTCCTGACTTAAAACATTATCTGAAGCTCTGAACAGCACACCGGAAAAAAAAAAGAAAGTCTTTCACTGAAAAATCTGGGTCACATGAGGACAGATTGTGTTTTTAAATGAGCTGATGTTCTTACAGCGGTCCTCAACATCAATCCTCAGCAGAAAACAGTTTAAAATCTCATCAATCTTTAACACGACCAACCAGCAGCAGCTTACGGTGACGCTGCGGCGCTGCTGTGGCTGCAAAACCCAACAGAAACTGTGGGACAGGAGGGTTAGAGTGTGTGGATTTAAATGTCAGCTGTGGCTGTGTGGGCAGCAGACGCACACTGTGGCTGCTGAGAAGCTGAGAGCAAACGACTGCAAATCAGAGTTAGAAGAAGGACAAAATGCACATCGATTACAGCGTCTGTGACATCACACTGCTGGGGCTTTTAATCCACAAGATTAGGAATGGGAAAGTTGTTTACACCTATTTTAAGCAATAATTTGGTTTTAAACTGCAACAAACCTTATATTATCAACTTGCATTATGATTAAGAAAAACAGTAAATAACTACTGACAAAATATATGAACATATGTGAAGAATCCCCTTAAATAAATAAATAAATAAATAAAATATTAAGGTATAACAAACTACACACAGGCTAATATATTACTATATTTCAGCCTATGTGCCTATTTTATGTTTTGCTTTTAAAAATCATTTTAAATCTTAACATGCTAACTGCATTTATTTTATTCTGCTGTTTATTCTGCTTCTGCAGGSACTGAGCAGTGGATTTAAACATTTTTTAAATATTGTAAACAACAGGGTTCCTGCAGCTTAAGGCAAGTTAAATTTAAGACTTTTTAATGCTAATTTAAATTAAATTTAAGACCAAAATCACAATAAATGGCAACAAATTTTTGCCAAATGTTTATTTTAACACAAAACAACTAACTGTGAGAGGCATTCTGTAAATTATTTTAAGACATAAATAAACTTTAACAACTTTATTATGTGAAAAGACTTACAATCACCCTGCTTACAATGTAAATATTTATAAGACCTCTGAAAGATTGATTTAAGACATTTTAAGSCTAATTRAGACCTTATGTTTAGATTGATGAATTCATTACCTTTTAAGRCTTTTTAAGGATCTGTRAAAACACAGTAAACCTAACTATTTCATTTAAAACACAGGATCTCATAGTAGTCTGCTTTTAATGCATTATCTACGCTTAATTGTCATTCTTTAAAGATGTAAAAAAAAATAAATAAAATCCCGCACCTGATTCTCTCGGAGTCGGACGGGTGGGGCATGTGCATCCACGCTGAGTCCTGCATGGCCTGTTGGTAGAGCTGGTCTTTGGAAAGGGGAACCGGCCCCAGCGGACAGACCCCCAGCGAGGGGAGGATGCTGACCTCTGACAGCGAGGGCTGAGGTGCTGATGAGGGGCCTGACTGGGCTGTAGTGCTGCTGGGGAAGATGTCTGACAAGAACCAGGGGGACAGAAGCACAGTTAGAAAGTAAAGGGTAAAAAGTAGAAAACAAGAGATGGAGGAGGGATGAGATGACGTGGGTCCATTCTTCCTCCGAGACCCCCCTCTCTCGTGTATTAACAGATTTGTTTCCTACCTGGAGTAAGGTGCAGGGAGGCCACATCTCCCTCGATCCCTGAGCTGAGTGCTGTTTGGTCAGAGATGGACTTGAGGCTGCTCAGAGACTCCTGGGGCTGAAGAGGACAGAGACTCATGAGAAAACAGATTCTCTCGGACGTGTCGCTGCTCAGACGAAGGAACATCAGTCCTTAAATCCCTGATCTGAATGAACTCTTTAAACTTTTTGTTGTTTTGTTTTCCCCCCCTGCCTTCCCCAAACATACATGTGACATCACACATTTAAGGAAGAATTTTAAAACTAACCAAGAAAGTATAAAAATAAAGAAAATGACGAGAGTATTTAGACTTGTTATTATCAAGAAACCCCAATGATAGAACCTAAAAATAATGGAACATAATAAGAGAGGAGGGAAAAATACTTTCATGATGGGAGCTTTGAGTGCATCGTCGTTCCTCACCTTGATGCTTTCGGGGGGCGAGTAGGACAGCGGTCCGTTCAGCAGGCTGGACGTTTTCGCCTCGCTGTATGAGGCCGGTGACGGGGAGCTGGATGACAAACTCAAAGAACCCAGTAAACTGGGACCAGTGTCCTTACTGGAAGGAAGAAGAGGCTTTAAATCAGACCCAGAAAGACCAGCAGCTGGTAGGGGTCGGGCTGGGGGTGGGGGGCTGTAATCTATATTTAGATCGTTGCAAATGTCAACATTTTTTTTTCTCTGGACCCAGAAGAAAATATGCTTTTGAATTATAGTCAAAGTTACGGAAACAAAACGTTTGATTTGTTTCCACTGATGAGCACAAAGCTAACTGCGCTAGTTTTTCTATGTTTATTTATTACACTTTAGCATCTATGCTAAGTTTTGATCAGCAGTCTATGCTTAGTGGGTTTTACAAGTTGTTATTGTCTCCTAGTGTTGATTCACAACCATACAACATAGAAAAAACCACATAAACTACTTACAGCTGACTGACTGTGGAGGTCAAAGATGAGGATTGGCTGCTTTGAGATTGGGTGGCACTGTTGAGGGCGGGTTCTGTTGTGCTGTCTGCGACCACAGCACTGTAACCTGCACAAAGAAAATATATAAAAAAAAAACATGATTTTTACAGTTTTTGTCTATATTACAAGTCGTTAAAGACAATTCTTGGCTTGAGGAAAGCTTTCCTGTGGTGTACTGATGCTGAGTGTCGTTCATACAGACAGCTCTAAATCAGAGATTCTTAACCCGCGGGCCACGGCCACCTTGAGGGCCTCAAAAGAACAACAGTTTTTAACTTTGAGCCGCAGAGGGCCGCAGGACCCCATTTATTTTGAATAAAGTGCAATACACTTTCTCACCACTAGTAGCAGTAGTGCGCCAGTCAGTTGTTTAACAACTTTTTTAATATGTAGAAGAATCTTAGAAACCTGCCGAGAATGGAAACATAATTTAAATGAAAAGTAGAAGCAAAAATGAAAGTAACTCATCAAAAAACACCAAAGTTTGTCACTAATATGAAGTGCAGCTGCTGTTTCAAGCATGTAATATTTTAAAAGTTCAAAACATTATCAAATACAGTTGCAGAGCTATATTTTAATTTGCACTTTAAATTATTTTTGTAGTTTATTTTTAAACATTTTGAATGTATTTTAAAGAAATTTGAAACTTGTCAAAAAGCTGTTGTTACTGATATTGTTTGTCACTAATATGA